TGCGTGTGATCGCACAAGAAAGTAGAATTCGATGGATTATTTCTGTTGCTCGTTCCTCTGAGTGGTGCCGACAGGAAAGTGGGGACAGCTCAGTGGGTTTTTGAAAAAATTATACAAATATATCGAACAAGCGATAGATATTAATTGAAAGTATGCAGCTGAGGGCCGGCACGGTTTGCTCGGCGCATGTATGCATCCCAGTAACATCATTAACATTAAATCTCAACGCTGATTGTAACTTTTAATAGAAAGGTATTTTGAAGTAGGAAGAAGAATGGAAGAGAAAATAATATTAAGAAATTAGCAAAAGTAGTAAAATTATTTTAAGAAATTATTATAATGGTAAGAAATGTTTCGGTTCATTAAGTCGTATACATTCTTTGCCACTTCCCCCTGCCCCTCCACCTCATAAGAATAGAAAGGTATTTTGAAGTAGGAAGAATGGAAGAGAAAATAATATTAAGAAATTAGCAAAAGTAGTATAATTATTTTAAGAAATTATTATAATGGTAAGAAATGTTTCAATGTTAATTGTTATAAACTTTTTTTTTGAATGTTTTCTATCAATTTTTTGATTAGTTTTTCATAGATATACAATTTTAGTGCTGAGGATCGTGCTGAAAAGAAATTGGATGACTGTATAATGCGATACGATGGAATACGTTTGGATACTTCATCCATTATAACAGATATTGATAGAGAATTGATGGATCATTTTGCACTGAGGCACTAAAGTAGTAAAATTATTTTGATAAAATTATTATGCCTTTTGTGCTGTATAACAGCGTTACAAAACGCATATTGTCACGGGGTTGTCTGTGTGTGTGTGTGTGTTTGTGTATGTGTCTCACATTTTGTCCCGCACTTTCAACTCGAGAACCACAAAAGCTAGGCGGCTGAAATTTTGGTATAGTGCTCTATTTGTCTCGCACTTTTAACTCGGGAACCACAAAAGCTAAGCGGCTGAAATTTTGGTATAGTGTTCCCCGCCAACGGGTGACGCGGCAAATTTAAATTCAGCCTTCCCGTACCCGCGGATAACTCGTACGACCCCGTGAAAGTTTTTTACGGGTAGACCAATATCTCAGGAACCACGGAGTCTAGGAGGCTGAAATTTTAGCATAGTGACCCTCTGCCCGCGCTCAACCTTGCCTATTCAAATTCAGCGTTCCCTCGCTGTTAAATATCACCTATGGCCTCGTGAGAATTTTGGCGGCTAAACTATTAACTAGGGAATCACGAAAAGATATTCGCCTTTCAAGGTTTCGAGTTCAGCTTTCATGTGCTGGTGCGTGAAATTTTTAACTGTTTTCCAATTTTTGATAAGTACAAAGCAGTGAAAATCATAGGCAATCGTTCGGTGGGCTGAACTGCACAAAACGCATGATCGCGCCGGCCAGTCTGGTGCGCGTTGCTATTTATTGTAATTGGTAAGGAATGTTTCGGTGTTAATTGTTAATTGATTTGAAATATTTTTTTCTTTATCCACCTTCCTCAGTATAAGAACGTCAAAACAGTAGTTTATGGTCACTTAACATGCTGGATTAGAATAAGGAATACTGACGATTTCGGTACCAGTAAATTGCCACCAAATTCTTTCTTTACTGAGCTGGCTAGCATGATGCTTAGAAGCATGATGCTAGAAATAGCTATTAAGTTATAGGTTAGTTTTTTATGTGCTTTTTACAGCCATACGATGCAGAAAACGCATATTGACGGGGGATTGTCTGTGTGTGCGTCTGTCACGGTTTTTTATCTCAAAATCAACAAAAGCTACAGGGCTGAGACTTTGAGAACTTAATCTACATGCACATGCGAGCCCCAATCCCCAAAATGGGCGCCATTATCCGCGTCGTATTCACGTAAGAGCTTGCCAAAGTTCTTTTCGGGTAAGTTCATTACTCAGGGATCTGAGAAGCTAGAGTGCTGAAATCTTAGGGTAATGTTCCCCGTCCACCTAGATTTTAATGAATTCAAACCCAGCCCCCGGTTAAGCGTGGTACCTGCGTACGGGCCCGTGAAATTTTTGGGTAAGTTGATAACTCAGGGATCTGAGATGCTAGAAAGCTGAAATCTTACGGGGACCTTCCTTGTCCATATAAGTCTTAATGGGCTTCAAACCGATTTTCGGGTACGCGTGT